TGCAGCTGAAGAAGTGAGGTTCTTACCCACGAAAGCTTATGCTCCCAATACTTCTGTTAGTCTTAAAGGTGCCACAAGACCCTCTGTTGCCAATTCCCAGTGTTACCAATTCTTGCCGTATATTTTGTGCTTGAAGTGATCACCTGATTTGAGAATGTCTAGGCTCAAGTCAGATCATTAATATTAAATATAACAGTTTCTTTTGATTTAAATATAAAAACAAAACAAGTTAAAAATGTAAACATCATTACTGGCTAACCTTCCTTGCGTGAATGGAGCTATTTATCAGTGAGACTTCTCTCATGAGTAAAGCAAGTTGAATTTGGTCGCACATTTCTGAATATGTGAACATATTCACTCCAACAGAAAAATAAACACATTGACAGTGTATTAGGGTCACATGGCTCTTCAGGACCTCATACAGTATCAAGGAACAGTTACAGTTCTTCTAAGAGCTGAATGAATGAGACATTTCCACTGAGATCATGCTTGATTCACAGGTCTATTGTATACAATACTATGCCGTTGAACCAACTGCTGGATTGGTTTGTAACATGTTATTGAAAATATTTGCAGCATATATAAATAGGGTTGCCAACCCTCCAGGATTGTCCTGGAGTCTCCAGGAATTAAAGATTAATCTTTAATTAAAGATTATGTCATGTGATGAAACCTCCAGGAATACGTCCAACCAAAATTGGCAACCCTATATATAAAATATTAAAAAACCCACATTTATGCATGTAGTGTGCAGTAACCGTTAAATAATTTAAGCCATTTACATTTTTTTAAACAGAAAAAGAACTGCATAGATACACAGCGAGTATTGTCTGCACACAAGATGCTGTGGGATATAGCTTTTGAAAATTGTGCAATTCTTACTTAACAAGAAGATTAAGAAGTGGCTTAGTTAACTTCTCCATTTTTTTCTGGACACACTGTCTCTAAATGGCTCAGTGAAATCCAAAACATTGTTTAGAATTATTTTGCTTAAGGCTGATAACTGGTATAATGAGTTTTATCCGGATGTGTGCCCAATCCTGCGAGGAGCTGAGCACCTCCTGCACAAGGTACCGAGAACCTCCAGTGCCCACTGACTTCAATGGGGGACGAGGATACTCAGCATCTCACAGGACTGAACATTAAAAAAGCATTATAAATCTCTGAATGGTTTATGGTTTATCAGGATAATAGCAATTGATCCCTCAGTGGTGCTATTACTGTATATTATTGCTATCACTTAAATGGCAATAATGTTGGTTATTTAACTTCAATTAAAATATCTAGCTAGTTGTGATGTCATTTATAACAACACAATAATGTGTATTGTGCTCTCCCACCCAACCCCACAGCTAATCTCCTGCTGGCAGCAGAGGTGAGGTAAAATGAAAAAAAGGGAAAGAGGGGGAAATGAAAAAAGTGATTATAGGATGATTACTCCTACATGCATATATCCAATTGGATCCCCATGTTGTTAGGTGGTAAGAATGACATGCTGCCTCCTGGACTCACAGGGTGGGATCAGTGAAGTCCTTAGAATCAGGAGTAGGGCAAAGTATTGTGGTACAATTGTTCACCACTTCTGCAATTCCTAAGAGGCAGGTGGAATTCATCCCTTTTCTGGATACTGCTCTGCCATCCTTGCCAGAGAGATGACTCATCCTGAGGGCTCAGCAAACTACTTCTTATTAGCAAGTCTTTTGCTTGTGGAATGCGCTAGGTTACATCAAATGGCAGGTGTTTTTAAAAAAGTTCTAGGAGGGGAAAACCCTGGAACACCCTGTCTCCATCAAGTTTCTCACCTTCAGATCCCACTTTAAATTACACAAATTAAAGTCTGCTATTCTGTATATGTTTCAGGAACAAAATATAAACATAGCCATCAAACTCACTTAACATAAATTTGTTTTCTCCTTCCCTGTTTATGGTAATAAAAAAGCTTTTGTTTAAAGGAAAACCAAACAGATTTCCAAGTCCTTCATCTCTGTTCTTTATAGCATCCTCTCCTATCTCCCACCATATGCATGAAGTTTATCACAGAATAAAGAGGGGGAAAATTGTGAGAACCCCTTGTTAGAATAATGGCAACGCATACATACTGTTTCCAACCACCCATTCCACTGGTGGCATGCTTACAGACTTAAAATAATATGCTTATTCCACTTGCCCAAGATATAATAAAAGGACAATATAACTTTGCTCTATAACAGCTTTCATATATTGCATTATATTTCCATTTTGAAAGCACTACAACACTTTAGAGTCAACAGATTTTTTGGATGATGAGGTATTTGTTCAGTTTAAAGCATCCTTCTTCATCACAAATCAGAGGTGTCAGTATATTTATATATAGCCATACACCTTGTCATGTGTTTTTCCTTCAGTTTCTGTCCTCTGCAAGTAGGTA